GAACAATATCCACAGATTTCCATTTTTAGTTACTATTTATTAAGAATCATGAAGGACCCTGGCTGGTATGGCTCAGTTGGTTGAGCATTGTTCCATGCACTGAGAGGTCACTGGTTCGATTCTGGTTGGCACATGTTTGATGCCTGAGTTGCAGGCTTGATCCCTAGTTAGGGGGGCATGCAGGAGGCAATCAATGTTTCCATCTCCCTTTCCCTTCCTCTCTCTCTAAAAAGAAAAACCCCACAAAAATAAAAACGTATTTAAAATAAAAGAATCATGTAAAAAGCACCCAGCTCCCACCAATAGCGAAAATGAAAAAGGTTCACAACACCAAAAGTTGGCAAGGATGTGAAGCAACCAGAATTCTTACATGTTGTGGGTAGGGATGTAAAATGGTGCAAGCACTTTGGAAAACTGTCTGGAGGTTTCTTAAAGAGTTACAAATACATCTACCTCTGTGATTTTAAAAAGACAATAATGCTGAAGTTGAGAAACCTTGATCTACTCTATGACTCAGCCATTCCACACCTAGGTATTTACCCAAGAGTAAAAAACAAAAAACAAAAAATTCTCACAAAAGTGTCTTGTACTAGAACCTTCATAGTAGGTTTATTCATAATAGGCCCAAACTGGAAACAGAACTCAGACGTCCACCAACAGGAGAATACATCATTAAATTGTAATCTATCCATGCAATGATATACTGCTTAGCAATAAAAAGGAACAAACTACAGATATATAAAACAACATTGATGAAAATTGACAATGTTCAGAACATGCTACCCCAAATTAAGGTGTCTTGACATATTGGATATTTTAAGCTGAAGGAATTTGAGGAATAGCAAGCACAGGATTCTCTGACCTTGCCCTGAAGTAGGTCATAAGACCCTTGTGTGAGATTGCTCTCTCTATACAACAGGAAAAGAACACCCTTCTCTGAACACAGAAGGGCTCCAAGAGGAATCTGAATGAGTGTTTCTCCAGTGTGCCCCTTTTAGCTCATACCCAGTTGTCACATATTTCAACTACTCATCAAACCTAGTGGGAAAACACGTGGGTTTAAAGGCTTTTTCAGGTCTTCATTTCCTCATGAAGGCTCTAATGTCTCATAAAAGATATTAGTAAATTTATATGCTTTTCTTTGGTTAATCTATCTTTTGTTCCAGCTAGGTTCTCAGCTAAGAACCTAGAAGGGTAGAAGGAAAAAAAATTTTCCTCCATATATATTATATATGTGTATATATATTACTATGTAGTAATATATATGTGTGTGTATATATACATATATATACATACATATATATATGCTGAAAACAAAAAATTACTAAACTGTAATGATTGAATTTATATGAAATTCTAGAACAGGCAAAACTAAACTCCAGTGACAGCAAACAGATCAGTGGTTGCTTCTTGTAGGAGGGAGAGTGATTGGGAAGAGGCTCAAGGACCTTTATGAAATATTTAATAGGTGTTTGGCAAAAGTAGTTGAATAGTACACTTGATCTGAGCATTTGAATGTATGTAAATTATATCTCAAAAAAACTGAAAAAAGACAAATCTGTGAGTTTGGAAAATCCTTTTCTTCCAATCAGCTCTCAGTTGGCAGCTCCTCGTACTCTCCAACACTAATATCTTCAGTCTTTTTCAGTTTAGCCAGTCTAATGTGTATCTCATCATGGGTTTAGTTTACATTTCCCCAAAGACTAATGAAGTTGAACGTCTTTTCATATTTTATTGGCTTTTTGGTTCTCATCTTTTTGAAGTGTTTGTTCCAATCTTTTGCCCATTTTTCCACTGGGAAATTTATATTTCTTGTAGGAGTTTTTTTCATTTGTAGGAGTTATATACTCTGGATACAAGTCTTTTGTGGAATATATGTACATTATTATAAATATCTTCTCCCACTCTATATGTTGCTTTTTACTCTCAAAGGTGTGTTATGAGGAATAGAGCCTCTTAATTTTAATATAGTTCAATTAATATATATTTCCTTTATTATTAGTGCTTTTTCTGTCCCGTTATAAACTTTTTGTCTACTTCAAGGTCACAAAGATGTTTTATGTTAAAAGAGTTATTGTTTGACTTTCAAAATATAGATTGACAATACAAGTGAACTGTAGTTTTGTCTATTATGTGAGGTAAGAGTCCAAATAAAGTTTTTATCATATGGAGTTTCAAATGACCTAGCATCATTTTTTAAAAAGACATTTTCCCCCTCCATAGATGCATGTTCTGGAAGACTAGTAAAAAAGTATTTTACATGTTTAAAATTTACATAAAATTGCTCAAACTCTATATACAGTTCTATAGTCTCCTATTTTCATGCAATACTGTTGACACATATAGCCTATTAATGACTGCATAATATTCCATTATATGAATGTAACATAATTTAATTACCTTAAAATAGACATTTAGAGTTTCCCATTTTTTATTATTGTTGTTAAGATGCTGAAATAAACATTTTGTTCAAAGTCAGTGCCAGCTGTTTATTTACTAAAGGTAAATTGCCAGGAGTGAGAATTGCTGGGCTAAGGTGTAAGGCCATTTTAAAGTTTGCCTTCTGTAAGGTTTATATCAAATTTCACTGCCATCCACAGTATAGTGTAGAAATTTGTTTCTCCATATGCTCATCAACTGTGGCCATTACTGATTATTTAAAATCTTTGCTAAGTTGGGTGAAAAGAAAGCATTGTTTTCATTTCCAATTCTTTTTTCAAAACAGATTAAACACATTTGTATATCCTTATTGACTATTTGATTGTGTTTGTTTTTAATCCTCACCGAGGATATTTTTTTCCCCATTGATTTTAGGTAGAGGAAAAGGGAGAGACGGAAAGAGAGAGAAACATCAGTGTGAGAGAGACACATCGATCAGTTGCCTCCCGCTCGACCCTGACCAGGAATCAAACCTGCAACACAGTTACATGCCCTTGATCGGGATTGAACCCACAACCTTTTGGTCTGCAGGTTTGACACTCTTACTGGGGAGCCAAACCAGCCAAGGTGAAAATAAGCATCTTTTAATCATTCACTAGTAATCAAGATCATTGAATGTATTGTTTCCTGAATAAAAGAAAGTACCTGGTATACTTGGTTTAATTGCTCGATTATATTAAACACTTCTACAAATCTAATGCATTTTAATACAAAAGCAAAGTCAACTCAAAATTGTCACGGGGATGTTAAGTACAGCATAGGGAATATAATCAATAATATTGTAATAATTATGTATGGTGCCATGTTGGTATTAGACTTTTGGGGGAGATCACTGGTAAATTATGTTAAGTGTCTAACCATGATGCTGTACACCTGAAATTAATATAAAATAATACTGAATGTCAACTATAAGTGACAAATTAAAAAGTTTTTAATTAAAAAAAAGCAAAGTTGACAATTACCTTGCTATTTTCATGATGACTTTCAAATGATGTAAATCACAGAGAAGGAAAAGGGTCTTGGAGATCCGTTGTTCAAAAATCTTCTGATTTCTAATAAAAAGTGAGTTTTACCTACAAGTTAACCTAACCTGAAAGGCTGTGGGGGTACAGAAGGCAAACAAGGGTTATGCAGTGGGAACAAAGTTGAGATTTTTCCTGATGCTTGTAAGGTCATAAGTTAAAATGTACTTAACTAAATACTTTATAATTGTTTATAATTGCAGCATCTAGACTAGCAAAACCAAGGTGTAAGGCAAGTTGAGCAGGCTGGATGTGCAGAGGGTAAGACTAGGCTTTCAGGTCAGGCATAGGGATTTGTATCCCAGATCTCCATCTACTAGCCCTGTGGTCTTTTGTTGTCGTTGTTAACCCTCACACAGGATATTTTTTCCACTGATATTAGAGGGGGTTGCAGGGGAGACATCTGTGTGAGAGACACATGGATTGGCACCCTGACCAGGGCAGGGATCCAACCTGCCACCCTTTCATGCTCAGGCTGACCTCTGATCACTGAGCAACATGGGTCAGCCCTGTGGTCTCTTTCTTTAAACACACACACACACACACACACACACACACACACACGTCTCTATATATAATTTTAAATTAATTTATTTTTGTTACAGATCTTTCTCTTTTTCCCCTCATTGACACCTTCCTCCTGTTCCCGCCCCCCACCCCACCGCATTGTTGTTTGTGCCCATTGGTTATGCTTATATGCTTACGTTTTTTGGTTTCTTTCTCCCCGCCACCCCACCTCCTCTGAGGTTTATCAGTCTGAACCCTACTTCTATGTCTCTGGGTCTATTTTGTTCATCAACTTAATTTGTTCATTATGACCCTTTGTTTTACTTTTTTTGGATGGCCTGTTCAAATCTTTGCCCATTTTTCTTGAGGTCATCTTTTTTCTATTGATTTATAAACATGCAAAATTATCGATTATATAATGGTGCGGGTTCGTTTGAAGGATAAACCATTTCAAACTGAAAGCAATAAAACGTTAAAAATATAGTAACAGAGTATTATCTTGAAGTTTCCCCAGTTTGGTTTTTAACCTCATATTGTCTACAAGACACCAGTTTTAAGACGCCGGTTGTTTTTTTTTAATTAATTAATTTATTTTTGTTACAGACGTTTCTCCTTTTTCCCCCACTGATTCCGCCCTCCCTCTCCCTCCCCGCCCTCTCCCCAACTTTGTTGTCCATTAAGACACCAGTTTTAACTAAATTAACTTCTGCCCAACAGCTTCGGAAAGCCTCTGGTGCTCGGGAGCCAGGTAGGCGGAGCCAGCGTGTCCTGGAAAGGTTTGCCTCGCCCCACCCACCCTTCCACCGACGGGGCGGGACCAAGGAACGCTCTGTCTGCGCGCGCAGCTTTCGTTGCCATAGACGCTGTAGGGCGAGTAGCGAGCGTTTCCCAGCTCCATTACCCCTCCGAGAGGCAAAACCTAGCGAACAGCGGCCTCGGCCCTGCGAGAATCGCTGGCGTGCGTAACGTTGACGTGTGACGTCATCCCGGCCTGGAGGCGCGTGCTCAGTGTGTGTGTGTGTGTGTGTGTGAGGGCCGCTGTCGGCCGGCGTTCGGTGGCCGCGCGGGTCTGGAGGTGGGGTTTTGCTCTAGGTCGGGAGGGCGTGACCGGGCCTCTTTCCGGGCCTCCCGGCGCGTCACCTCCTTCCTCTGCGGTGGGGGTGGCCGTAGACCCGTAAGGAGAGGAAGTGGAGAATGGCCCTCTGGAGGGAGGAGAGCGAGTGAAGCGCCGCCTCTCTAGACTCGGAGCAGAGGTGGGCGTGAGCGAAGGTAATTCAGGTCTGGGTTCCAAGACCGGGTCCTCCTCGATATTCCAGTGGGTGAGGCAGGGGCTGGGACTGAGGTGCCTCCGGGTCAGGGACCGGGTCTCTTTAAGGGAGCTTGGGACTCGCTTCCACCAATTGAAAGAAGATTTTGGATGCCTCTGGCCCGAAGTGAAGCGCTGGATCTACGTTAGCTTTTACTTTCGCTGTTGCTGGCAGGAGGAGTTGGCGGAAACACTTCTAAAACTTCTTGTGTTAATTGGAGAGGTAACTGTTGATGAGATCATGTGGGGTTTGTCTTAGGTGCAGAAATTTTGCACGTATTCCTTTTGTGGCTTTGGGCAGGCTTACATGACTTTCTCCTCGAGTCTGCAAAATAAGAGTGGTAATGCTGACCCTTTTAGCAGAATTATGATGCCCAAAACTCTATAGAGTGCCTAATGAAAGGATAGAAGAACACATGCCTTTTCTCTATATTCCTTTGACATGCATTGAAGTGCTGGAGTGAAGTTAAAGTGCATTATTATGACTCATATTCAGAACTTAATCAGAGGAGTGCCTTTTGTGGTAAATAAGATATACATCCTTTTTGGGGGGGGGGGGAGATAACTTACTGAGCGCTTACAGTATATTAAGCCCTGTTCTAACCTCAGGATGATAAGTGAGTAAACACACTGCTGAAAGAACAGTAAAGGTAAATGCGAGTAGATTAGTCTTTGGATATTACTGTATTTATTGTGGCACTAGCTCACCTTTATTTTCCATTTTAATCATCAGACATTGTCTTTTTATGGGATGGTGATTGTCAATTTTTCATGTTTAACAAGTTTAGATTCTTTTTGAAAACTTGTGTAGAATGCACTGAATGTTCTAAATAAAAGCAGAACTCATGAACTAAACAATCTGTTGATTAACATTGTGCTGACAAGTACAGTTGAACTCTGAACAATACAGGGGTTAGGGTGCCAACCCCTATGTATAACTTTTGACTCCCTCAAAACTTAACTACTAATGACCTACTGTTGACTGGAAGCCTTATTGATAACATAAGTAGTTAACACTTATTTTGTATATTTTATGTATTATACACTGTATTTCTACAGTAAAGCTAGAGAAAAATGTTAAGAAAATCATAAAGAGAAAATACATTTACGGTATATGTAAAAAAAATCCACGTATAAATGGATCTGCACAGTTGCAACTGTAAGGTTCAGCTGTACTATGTAATACTCATTGCTCTATCTGCTGGCATTTAGAACTTTTCCAACACATTAAGCCACGCTGCTTTCTCTTTGTCCCTTTCCCTGTCTGGTGGACAGATGTTTTCGGTTTCTTAGGCAGTGTTAGAACCCAGAATGTAGGGTGACTATTTGTAATTTGTATAGTCAATAAGGATTCTTCACTTTAAAATTCTTCTATCAAGGTGTGTTAAGTTTAAGTGGCAAGAAGAAACAATATTTTATACTGTGAGCATGGAGCCATCTGACCAGAGGAGGCAGGAATTTGTAGTTTAGAGACATGCCAGGTTGAACTATAGGTCAGTATCAGCATTGGACAGGAGGCTAAGTATACGTACCATAGTTAATAGTATAGTGATGAGTATTAGTTGGTGACTTATAAAGGTGATTTGATACAAGAGAGTGAGATATGGATAGAGAACATATTTGGCAATTCTGGTTGGTGAATAAGTGGGTGGTGGCAAAGAGGCCTGGTAGCAGGATCAGTATTGGGTTCAGGTGCAGGATCCTCTCCTGGAAGGAAGTGAGAGTTGGAGGGAGCTAAAAAAAGCTAAAAGTCACTTGTTGGAACTTGATCAAATCATCAAAGGTCATGTTTGGAGGTGAATCTTAGTCTAAATGGGTTCTGTAGGTGGTCTCTAAGCCACGGGTATAGGAGGACTTCCGGAAGGAGCTAGAGGGGTTACTATGGTAATAAGAGCTGCCATTCACTGATGATATTTGCTTTGTCTATGCTAGCATGTTTTATCCTCCTCTAAAAAAAAAAAAAAGGGAGGAGCCACACCAACTGGGCAAGTATACGTCAGTTTTTAAAATAAGAAACTGAAACTCAAAGATGTAAAGTACTTTGCCCAAGGCCACTTATTAAGCTATAAGTGCAGAGCTGGAATTTGAGCCCAGGCCTGTTGGATATCAAAGTCTTTACTCTCTTTATTTCAAATTGTCTCATTATATATTTGAATGTGCTGACATTAGCCTTTCCATTTTATGTGGTTTGTCATGAGTGTGATCTGATTTGCTGTAGATGAAATTTTACTCACTAATAAATTTGATTCATTTAATTATGTTTTCTTTTTCTAGATTTTAATTTAATTTGAAAATGAGTAAGTGCAGAAAGCCACCACTGGGTTCAACTCTTGAGACATTCAGCCCAGATGTTGTTGCTGACATTTCTGAACTCTTTGCCAAGAGCTTTTCTTATGGCAAGCCACTTAATAATGAGTGGCAGGTACCAGATCCCAGTGAGATTTTCACCTGTGACCACACGGAATTTAATGTCTTTCTTAATTTGAAGAACTCCCTAAATGAAGTAAAAAACCTACTGAGTGATAAGAAACTGGATGAGTGGCATGAGCACACTGCTTTCACTAATAAAGCTGGAAAAATAATTTCTCATGTGAGAAAATCTATGAACGCCGAACTTTGTACTCAAGCATGGTGTAAGTTTCATGAAATTTTGTGCAGCTTTCCAGTTATTCCGCAGGAAGCTTTTCAGAATGGAAAACTGAATTCTCTACACCTTTGTGAAGCTCCTGGAGCTTTTATAGCTAGTCTCAATCACTACTTAAAATCTCATCGATTCCCTTGTGATTGGAGTTGGGTAGCTAATACTCTGAATCCATACCATGAAGCAAATGACAATCTTATGATGATTATGGATGACCGACTTATTGCAAATACCTTGCATTGGTGGTACTTTGGTCCAGATAACACCGGTGATATCATGACCTTGAAATATCTGACTGGACTTCAGAATTTCATAAGCAACATGGCCACTGTTCACTTGATCACTGCAGATGGGAGTTTTGATTGCCAAGGAAACCCAGGTGAACAAGAAGCTCTAGTCTCTTCTTTGCATTACTGTGAAGTAGTCACTGCTTTGATGACTCTTGGAAATGGTGGCTCTTTTGTTCTAAAGATGTTTACTTTGTTTGAACATTGTTCCATAAACCTGATGTACCTGCTAAACTGTTCCTTTGAGCAAGTTCATGTTTTCAAACCTGCTACAAGCAAGGCAGGAAATTCAGAAGTCTATGTGGTATGTCTCCAATATAAGGGGAAAGAGGCAGTCCAGCCTCTGCTATCGAAGATGGTGTTGAATTTTGGGACTGAAATAACCAGGAAAGCTCTCTTTCCCCATCATGCGATTCCTGAATCTTTTCTTAAAAGACATGAAGAATGTTGTGTGTTCTTTCATAAATACCAGCTAGAGACTATTTCTGAGAATATCCGTCTGTTTGAGTGCATGGGAAAATGGGAACAAGCAAGGCTGAATAATTTAAGGGACTGTGCTGTTCAATATTTCATGCAAAAGTTTCAATTGAAACCTCTTTCCAGAAATAATTGGCTAGTTAAAAAATCTAATACAGGTTGTAGTACAAATACAAAATGGTTTGGGCAGAGGAATAGATATTTTAAAACCTATAATGAAAGGAAAATGCTAGAAACCCTTTCATGGAAAGATAAGGTGGCCAGAGGTTACTTTAATAGTTGGGCCGAAGAACATGCTGCATATCATCCTGGGCAAAGTTCTCTTTTAGAAGGGACATCTTCCAATCTTGAGTGTCACTTATGGCATATTTTAGAGGGAAAGAAACTGCCAAAAGTTAAGTGTTCTCCTTTTTGTGATGGTGAAATTTTAAAGGCTCTTAATGAAGCAATTGAAAAGTCATTAGGAGGAGCCTTGAATTTGGATTCCAAGTTTAGGCCAAAACAGCAGTATTATTGTTCTTGCCATGTTTTTTCTGAAGAACTGATATTTTCTGAGTTGTTTAGCCTTACCAAGTGCCTTCAGGATGAGCAGGTTGTACAAACTAGCAACCAAATAAAGTGCCTGCTTGTGGGTTTTCCAACTCTCCCTGATATCAAAACCATTGATATACCATTGGAAGTTCAGCTCCTTGAATCAGCTGAACTCATGACTTTTACCTGTTCATTGCTTCATGATGGAGACCCAGCTTACCAGCAGTTATTTTTGGACTGCCTTCTACATTCATTACAGCAGCTTAATACAGGCGATGTTATGATTTTGCCTGTGCTTTCTTGTTTTACAAGGTTTATGGCTGGTGTGATCTTTGTACTGCATAGCTGTTTTAGATTCATCACATTTTCTTGTCCCACATCCTCTGAGCCCCTGAAGACCTGTGCAGTCCTGCTATGTGTTGGTTACCAAGACCTTCCAAATCCAGTTTTCCAGTATCTGCAAAATGTGAATGAATTGTTGAGTGCTTTGCTTAACTCTGATGCATCCCAGCAAGTTTTACAGTTTGTGCCAATGGAAGTACTCCTTAAAGGGGAACTACTTGATTTTGTGTGGGATTTGAATGCTGCCATTGCTAAAAGGCATTTGCATTTGATTATTCAAGGAGAGAGAATAAAGCAGCAGCAGCCTTCAGTTATGAAATTGAACTTTTCTTTCTGAGATTTAATTTTATGGCTTCTTACAGTTTTCATTGTAGTTGTATCCCTTTGCTATTAATTTAAAACCTTTCATTTTAGGGAAAGGCCAACTTTTGCATCATTTAAAGGCTTATTATTTCTGGAAAACCATCAGCTGGCAACCATCTCTAGGATATATACATCCACAGACATAGAGTTTTCCTTGGTGGAATCTATGAGTGTTGATATTCAACCTCAAACATGAGATGTATGTATGTGCTTGGGGTGGACACACCCATGCTAGTTTAACTGGTCTTATTTAATCTGCTTAAGGTTTGTACCTGTGTGCCTTCATTCAGACTTTTTTTCAATTAATTTTCTCTAAATGGCTAATGCTGTTAAAGAATGGTAGAGGATTTTGTTGTTGTTGTTAATCCTCACCTGAGGATATTTTTCCATTGATTTTCAGATAGAGGGGAAGGGAGGAAGGGAGAGAGAGAGAGAAACGTCCATGTGAGAGAGATACATCAATTGGTCGCCTCCCGCATGACCCCAACCAGGGCTGGGGATCGAATCTGCAACCCAGGTATGTGCCTTTGACCAAAGAATCAAACCTGCGACCCTTTGGTCTGAGGGCTGATGCTCTAAACATTGAGAAAAACCTGCCAGGGCTGATACAGGTTTTTGATGAAAGGAGGTAAGTCACTCCTGAGCCACACTGATTTCCTTTAACACTGACCATGTCAGTTATGCATTTGGGGAACTCATCTTGCCAGATTTCTGGAAATGTGCCATACATTGCCATTGACCCAGTTTACTTTTATGGTTCAAATGAGGCTACTGTGTTGTTTTGTGAATATTATACTAACCACAACATTCAACTAGAGAGGATATCAGGACAGCTTCATACCAAAGATCATGTTTAAAACAATAAAAAATTATTGTCTAAAAATTCCTGCATCATGAAAAGCCTCATTTAGCAATGATGTAGTGATTTTTAACTTCCAGAAAATAGTCTGTGAGCTAAAAGATATTTTAAAATAGAAAAATAATGTTTATGGTCTCATATTGGGAACACATGAATGTGATAAATATAGTGAATATTGAAGAAAATTTTTAATACTTTCATAATAATGGTTCAGCATTTAACATTTTGTAGTCTTTACAGTTTCTTTTTTCAGTATGAAAGTAGCACTTTATCAAAAGTTTTAACCATGAGGTGATTATTTTATTAGTTGTGCTTGATTTCTTATATATATTTAACAGTGTAACTGAGCTTTTCTGGCAAACTAGTAAGCAAATCTTCATTACTTTGAAATTCCACAAAATGGAGAATATTTATACTCTTACATGTGTATTTTAAACATTTTGTTAGTTATATGAAAAATGGATGTATTCTCTGATGTATTTGGTTGATAAATATTAATCTGAATTTTTTTCATGTTCTTTGCTATTTTGAGTTCCATTATAGATTCATGAATAAAGTCATTAGCAGAGAGATATTTGTGTTCGTCTTTCTTAAAGAGAATCATGGGGGAAGTTAAAAATATAACTTGGAAACAGATTTTTTTTAAAGGAAGGTTTGAATGAGAGTTAATGTTCCTTCATTTCCTCTGATTTGTATTCATTAAAATTTAGTTCTTAATATTGTAATATTTATGGAAGCTCTACTTTAGGAAAGAAATTGAATACTTAAGGGAGGGAGGGTTGGAGGTAGATTTCGTTCTTGTCAGGGAGGATGTGGATGCCTGAAGGTAGATTTCTGGAATAAATGTGATTTTCTACTGGTGATTTTATGGAAGCATTTCCAGTTGTATAACCAAAGAAAATTGGTTAATGAGAGAGAGTTAAAACCACTCTTTGAAAACCATTTTGTACTTAGTAGTCTTTATGCCTTGGTTGGTCCAATGTAATGACACAGTTTATTCTTATTTTAACCATTTAATTAGAATGAAGTTCAAAGAATAGGTCCAGGTTCTGGTATTAAAACTTTCTTTTAAGCCTCTCAAACAAATATTGAATATTTAGGTTTTTAACACTAAACTGTATTGGAATATATAATATATTGGTGTATATTAGAATGTATTTTGGTTTTTAACGTGGCTTTTGGAATCTGCTACTGTTGATCTGATTTATTAGATTCAGATTTGCTTTAAAGGTGAGATACGACTTGAGGAAGATTCAAATTGAACTGCATGTAGATGACAGCTACCAGTGACTTATTGGAATTTCTTTCTGAGAAAAGGGGGGGGAAATGCTTTCAAAAAATGAATGGAAAAGTAGAGGCGGACAAGTATGAGATATGGTTTGTATAGTTTATCAAGGTAGTTATTGCTCTTTAAAAAATTTTTTTGCACATCTTGAGATTTTTTATTGTGATGCTTTTTGAAAAGAATGTACACCAGCCAGAAAATTTAAACTTCATAAATGTGTTTTTTAAAAAGCTTAGATGAAAAAGAGGTCTTATAAATTTAATTTCTTCAATTTTAATTTTTGTCCCTCCTAGAAAAAAGTTAGTTTTATCTTTCAGTGGGGACTTTTATGTATTATCCTAATGTTATTTAAATATTTGAATGTGTTAAAAATATCTTTACTGAAATAAATTTAAAATCCAAACGTGTGAACTTTACTGCATCTTTAAAATAGTTATTTTGTTTAAAAAGGTTTGTGTTAATTTTTTTTTCTACTTTAAAGATCTTGGAAAGAATAAAAAAAGCAAGATAAAAATATTAGGAGAGCTGAAAAAACATGTTTCTTGATGTATTCTTGTCTTTGATGAGAAAACCAGGTTTCTAAAATATTTAAACCTTATTCTTCATTTCCAGATGAGATCATTAATTGAATAGTTTTGAAATTAGTCCTGTGGTGGGCGTATATTAAATCAGTTAATCCCTCATATTTTTAGAAATGAAAATGTTGATTATAAACCTAGCCAAAATCTTATTTTCCATGGTTAAATACTTTTCATTGATTTTTTTTTTTAAAAGGACAACACTGGCTTTTAGTATATTTTTAGTTTTTGGTTTTTTTTTTTATCCTCCCCTGAGGACATTATTTTCCGTTTTTTTTGTTCAGATAGAGTGGGAGGGAGAGAGAAGAAGAGAGAGAGAGAGACTGAAAAATCGATGTGACAACCAGGGCCGGGGACAAACTGCAACGAGATATGTGCCCTTAGCGGGAACCGAACCCAGGCCTCTCCAGACCGCAGGCCGACGCTCTAACCGCTGAGCCAAACCAGCCAGGGCTATTTTTAGTTTTTAAGATGAAAGTAAGAAAGTACATTATTAGTTCATTTCAATGTTTTAAATAGTTTTAAACAATAAAGGATCATTTTAAAATAAAAACAATACATGATTATAAAGATTTTAAAGCATAAGAGGGTGTCTGTCATTTTTATGTTCTAAAAATGTTATCAATTACACTGGTATAATTAGGCCTTATTTAAATTACCTTTGTAATCTGTTTAATACAGTTGGAACAAAATTTAAACTTCTTGTAAATGTTCTCTATTAAATTGATAAAAAATTATTATACATAGATGGTTCAAATATGCAAGGCCTGGCTGAAAATTTGTTGACTATATAGTTACTATTGAATAAAGAGACTAACCGAGCAGGTGTGGCTCAGTGGTTGACCCATACATCAAGAAGTCACCAGTTGATTCCCAACAGGGTTGCAGGCTCGATCCCCAGAGAGGGTAGGAGGATGTGATGTTTCTTAACTATGTTTCTATCTCTCTCCCTCTCCCTTTCTCTCTAAAATCAATAAAAACTTTTTTTTTTTTTTGCATTTATCTTTAGATAGAGCAGGAGGGGAGAGAGAGAGAGAGAGACATCAATGTGAGAGAAACACATTGAGTGGTTGCCACCCACATGACCCCAACTGAGGCCAGGGACAAACTGCAACTGAGGTATGTGCCCTTAGTAGGAACCGAACCCAGGACTCTCTGGTCCGTGGGCTGACGCTCTAACCGCTGAGCCAAACCAGCCAGGGCAAAATTTTTTTTTTTAAAGAGACTCAATAATAGGCCTCCAACCCTTTTTTTTTTTTTTTTTTAAATTAACTATTAAAACTGATTCAAGCTGATTTTAGGAGTAGAGCCAACTATAAAACAAACATTTCAATATTTCCTGATGAATTTCTGTTCGGAGGTAAACACTTTTTTAGGGTTGGCTTAATGGCCAAGTAGCATAAACTAAAATCTTGATATTATATATAGTAACTCATAATATATGGGTATGTTTTAGGGCATGTATTAAAAATAATCCTTACTAAGTGTATAATGAGTTGTTGCATTATTTTATTTTATTTTTTCTTTATCAATTTTTTAGTTTTTTGTTTTTTTTTATCCTCCCCTGAGGACATTTTTTCATTTATATTCAGACAGAGCTGGAGGGAGAGAGGGAGGAAGAGGGAGAGAAACATCGATGTGAGAGAGACACATCAAGTGGTTGCCACCCACACAACCCCAACTGGGCCCAGGGACAAACTGCAAACAAGGTACATGCCCTTAGCAGGAACCGAACCTGGGACTCTCTGGTTCACAGGCTGACGCTCTTAACTGCTGAAACATACCGGCCAGGGCTGCATTATTTTTTAATGCATCCTTTTCTTAGTTTATATAAATAGCAATTTTTGACTAAGGAATTCTTCTCTCCATTCTGTTGTTTGTTTTTTCTTAGTTTTAGCCTATACAGAAAATGACGGTAACTTATCTTTTGGTAAGTACACGTTTATACTGGAATGTTTGAGTAAGAAATGAAGCTGCTTTATGACCAGAGATAAGTGGAGATGCCAGCTGGTCTTTATTACTGAAAATATTTAGAAATTATTTGTCACTGAGTATTTAATTTGAAAGTCTGATCTGCTTGTGTTCACATGTAAGTTGCATACTCACTTACAAATTGTACCCATGATAAGGTTTCCCTAATTTTCTTGAGATCTTGATCTTTAAGTCTTTCCAAAGTGTCTTAATAGATCAACTAGGTGTGATCATTATGTGTTCATTTATACCAGGTGCAGCAGCATCAGTTTAGCCTGTTATTGAGCATTTAATATTTAATATTGCTGCCACATTCTTGATTCAGTAATCTAATTAGGGAAAACATTTGTAGAGCTTCTTATTTTTCTCTAAACTGTGTACATTATACTGAAACGATACTTGTATTAAAAAGATTCTGCAGATCTTTGTGGAAAACTTATTTATGCTACAGGTATATCTGCATCTCTTTGCTATGTAAGATTGTGCTTCAATACCAAATCATTTTACTGGACAAGATGTGCTTTTACTGTCTAGACTTTTGAGAGTTTCGATTTTGTTTCCAGAGAATTCCAGGATTGACAAGTTAGTCGGCGTATTAAACTAGCTGAGAAAATTCAAAACAAGCACAAACACATCCTAATGAATTTTTTTATTAGCGTAAACATCATTCCTGCAACTGTTCAATAATTCCATTAATATTAACCTCTTTCTGGAGCTATTGTGCTTACTGCTTAAATCATTCA